CCACATCTTCGGAGACTATATTTGTACTGGGTATTCTTTGTATGCAAATTTATCAAACTGATCTTGACAGCCCTACAAATTATCTCTAATTGGCGATTTTAAGTTGATATATAATATAATTTACCTTAGCGACGGCCCTGATTAGTGCCTCTCTCCTAAAATCTCGCGTTGTGCGAGAGCAGGTCACGTGACAAAATAAGTCACATGACTCTCACTCTATTGAACGGGGAACGTTCCAAAGTATGAATTAAAAATTATTTATTCGATACAAAAAGAAGCAGTAAATTATTCAGTATTTTTCTCCTTTTTGTAGTCGCAGCACCAATGTCAAAGAAAAAATAACATTAAATCCACCTGTATTTATAAATTGGGACCTATAAATGTCTAAATTTAAATTAGATTAATATTTTTAACGATGGTAACTTTTGTAGACTATTCTTAGTAACAAAATTCAACAATAAATAAACAAATAAATAGACAACCCAGAAAAACACTGAAAATATTTTGTCCTCAATTCCTTAGCTGTATAGTAGAGTATTTAGTTGTCCTGCGTACGCGTGGGCCCCGTTATCTTTTAGCAAATAGACTTAGAAAGCCAACACCGCTAATTCCCTCCTTCTATACGTACGGAATGCGCGCATTTCGTTAGTTTGCTGTCGCGTAACGAGTGGAGATTATAGAATGTTTTACCATGTAGTCTATCTTATCATTTCCTGCAGTGAGATGCTGTTGAGTATTTGATCCATGGATATTTGAAGCACGAATTACTTAAAACAAAGGGTTGAATTGTTACATGTAGCAGGAAATGAACACGAAACGGATTTTTATCACATCATAATACATTGCCTTAGTTTTCCATATCATATATTTACCTAATTCATTTTTTTATCTGTCCATTCATTCGTTCAAAACATCAAATTCAAATTCTACGATTTTTTTTTTTTTTTTGGTCGCCGAAATCATACTGTATGTTTCCCTCCATCACAGCCTTCCACAGCTTTGTCGAAATGTTAAATATTTGACCAGAACACAAACATGTTATGACAGTTCAATAAACATCAATAAACCTACTAGGATGTCATGTGCACTAGGGTTTTGTTTTAGACCATAAAGGCTTAGACAATAAAGTGTTCTTTTTTTTTAATTCATATCATTATTTGGTTGCACTTTCGCCTATATTTCGACATGTGCATCTTCGCAACTGTAGACCTACATGTACCTCGTGCTACCCTGAATGACGGGACGTGGTTTATTACCGCCAGAAGATGGTGCATTACGTTATCAGTAAATACAGCCATTAACAGCCATCATAAATTCTTAAAATTTTGCTGACGCACCTGATTAATTGCACTTGTGCGAAATGATTCATCAAAAATATAAGTGTTGTGAATCAACCTTTGTTTCTTTTAAGTAGAAGTTAAACAGTATTAAAAGCAATAATTAATACTCTAATGGCAAATGTATTTAGTATAAAACAAACGGACTTTCTGTCCTTTCCTGTTAAAAAATCGTGTGCGGTGCGATTTTAAAACTTTTAAACAGCTTCAAAGCGACTGCAGTTATTAGATTGATATTACAAGGTCACCCGCAGTACTAAGTCTGATATTCTGTATATTTATTTCTAAAACAGATTTGACTTGTAAAAATATGAGCATATCCCGTGCGGAGTAATAAAAACCAATCATCACTAGAATTTTTTTAAGTCAGGGCATAGGACAGGCCCGTGGCCGGGGGGGGGGGGAGTGGTTCGTGCGAAAAAGGTCCGCTCTGGGGGAAATTTGATCGAAGTTCGTGAAGGTTTCATGGTAAAAGATCCACTTTTTCGGAACCCCCCCCCCCCCCCCCCCCCCCCCCCATTTAGACTAAATGCATGATCCGACCTCTCAAAGTGTTTTAGTACAAACTGTATCACTTGGTATGCTGCTTCTTGTTGAGAGGAACTTAAGATACAGCAGTCTTCAAATCATCAACTGTAAGTAGAACTTGAGATAATTTTTAAAAAAAATTATACCTCAAATAATCTTCAAAACAAATGCACCAGGGAATAANTTTTTTCGGACCCCCCCCCCCCCCCCCCCCCCCGCCTTCCTACTTAAATTGCTGGTCACTGACCTGTAGTACATGTATATAGACTATATACGTGCTAGTAATTAACGTTAAAATATCATAACATTAAAATATTGATCAACACCTGCTGTCAGTTTTCCCTGGATTTGACTTTCATGACAGGTACACAATCACGAGGACCACGATAATTTTTATCAAAAACTAAAACGTATGCACAAAAATACAAGTTTTTGCCTCACGGTCACTGGCAGGTGAAGTCAGATTTAAAGATAGCTAATCACGCGCCAGGACGGGATGCATCCTCCACTTTTCCAGGTGCAACACATCAATAATTCATCTCTATTTCTTCGACAACGGAAAGCACTGTCAAATAAAGTAAGCGAAGGTTGCTCTACTACAAGTCGATGGACCCATCTGGAGTTGCCTGGCTGCGTCTCTTATCGAGCCTTCAACTGGGTTAACTTTAGAACAGGTAACCTGGAGATTCCTGGTAAACATAGGCGTTACTTCTATGAAATATGCCAGTTGAGCTTTTTCAGGAAGCACACAGATAACGTTATTGGACGGGACTGGACCCACGCGTGGAGAGCATGCTTGTTTAGACTACATGTTGAACAGTTCAGCGCAGGACTCTTGGAAATATCATACAGGCATGGCGAAAGTTCAGTTGTCCACGCGTGCACGCGGTGGTGGGTTTGTGTGTGTGTGCGAGCCCGAGAGAGAGAGAAAGAGAGAGAGAGAGAGAGAGAGAGAGAGAGAGAGAGAGAGAGGGAGGCACCATTTATTAGACGAAGGAGAGTTACGATAATCTATCCTAGAAAACTTTACTGGGACTGTTATGATAGCTAGAGCTATTCATATGTTTATTTTACATTGACTCACTCTATGTGTTTTAGGTCAATCATGTAGGTTGACGTGAAAATGGTAGCAAGAATATTAATTTCTGTCAAAGTTATCTTAATTGCCTATGACTAACTGACTGCGGTAGTGTAAAGTATATAAATTAAATCTGTGGGGGAGGGGAGGGATAGTTTTATTGAACCCATGTCAGAGAAATGACTGATAGTGTTTGTGTGTACTTGACACGCGTACCGTGACTGTTATTTGGGTGCTTTCTACAACTCAAAATTAACGTGCATTCTGCATATCATTCCATTGATTTTTCGATGAATAAAGTTTTTTTGGTGCTTGTAAGTCTATCACCCAATTGTTTGTTTTTCTTTTTTCTTTGCAGATATTATTTTTGATATTTGTGGGATAGAGGCCAATGAAATGTTATGTGCCAAATTCGTGATATTGGGTTTAGACGTTGTTTTACAAGATGCTTGAAGATACATTCGAAGCAAGCATAAATGTAATTCCCTGTACAGCATTTGTCGAGAAACAGTTCGTCACCACATGCAAATAAATAAATAAAATAAATAAATAAATAAATAAAATATAAAATAAAAGAAGAAGAATAAAACATATTTTGTGCAGCAGAAAAAATGGATTTAAAACTGCATCTTCATCAATTTTTTGGTCGTAATTTTATCTTTTTTTTACTTTTTGTCTGCAATGCACAGCACATGAGCAGAAAATCTGTAGAAATACCATTTCCGGAAATATGTTATGAAACTGTGGAATTTCTTTTCAGTTATACATCTACTAGGTCCCTATTTGAAACTATATAGTGGCATTTGTTCGGGTTAAGTTGCTGTAATTTGAATACTTACTCGCTCAATATTCGTCTTTAAAAACATGGGAGTTAGCACAGCAAATGTCAAACAAAATCTCCCAACCCACATCATTTGTCTACAAACACGTCTTCCCCCAGGTCTAGGGAGGATTTTGACTCCAATCTCACAACAAGTTCGATAAACGATAATTCTCATAAGGTTGGTGATAGAATATCTCTGCCCCCATACCATTTACATATCATATAATTCACTATACTTTACGTTAGTAACAGCTTCATTTCTCACAAATGTGGTGTATTACATCCCTTTGAAAAAAAAAGCATATAGTAATAAATATCGTTTTCACTGTGCACTAGTCTTTTATTTATCTCGCGTAATCTCGCTGTGTTTGCACAAACTTATTTTAACCAGCAATCATACTTAGCAGGCCACCAATTCCCGATGTTGGTTTGACACTAAAAGCAATAATGCAAAACAATATATTTGTATTTAATGATATTCTTGATAAAGAATCACTTAAACATGAATTCTATTTGGAACTATTTTTCGGCAATATTAACTATATCTTTGCCTACCATTGTACTTTTTAATAACGTTGTTGTACATTTGTGTATTTTTGCGTACTATGCCCTCTCAAGTGTGAGGTAAATAAAACAATAAGAAAGGAAAGCAAACAAGTTGCAACTGCCGGTGTAAAATATAGGCCTCCGTGCAGAGAACCCGCCCTCCATTAGATTCATAGAGGTTAGGGTTACCATGACGCAAGTGGGTCAAAATCTAGGACGGGATTCGCCTGTACAAATCATTGGAGAACTGGCTGTATCACAGGGGATTCTCTCTCGTGCATGATACCGGAGTGTTTATCTCGCTGTTACCCGAGCCCTGGACCTTAATACTCCTGGGCGTCTTCCTAAGCGTCCCCGGTCATCCAACCTCCTCTCTCCGTAAATCCTCGCATCAACGCTTTAACTAAACATTAAACAAGTTGTCCGTCATAACTTACGCATTGTACACAGACAAATCCAACGACTTAACACTTATTAGCAAAATTAATTAAGTTCCGATCAATTGCAATTCAAGTGGGGACTATTCATTCGCGTCAAGAGAGATTAGAAAGAACGCCCACAGAGTCTCGTAACACCCTCAGTATCGAGCTGGAAATATCCATTAGCTGAATAGAGGGCGTTCACCAAACATTCTGGTTATAAAAGAGCCTGGTCCTGATCTCAGACCAGATAACACTGACACCTGAACACCAACCTGATGTCACGGACTGATTTCTGTGAGGGAGTTTGTAGCCAGGAAAAATATTAGGAAAGTTACATTGCGTCCAACTCTTGAAACAAGATGGTTGTGATCATGTGGAAAAGGTATGGTTTTTTAAAAAATTTTATTCTATGTCATCCTGAAAAACGATCTCATTACAAGGGTTTGTTTTACAAATGAGGAGCTAATAAATAAAATAGGGCTATTTTAATTGGCAGATTAAAAAAATTCTTTCTTTCTTTATCATTTTATTATCATTTTTTTAGGGGAGGGGGGTGCATAACGTTTTGACTTGCGGCATAAAAGATTTCAGTTTAATTTTGTCTGTTCCTTATTATCCGAAGAAAAAAAACTTTTGAGATCAACAAGAAAGAAAAGAAGGATAACAAAACATGGTCTCATATTTTTCTATAACATTGGTTATCTGATAAGAAGATTTCCAAAAGTAAGTTTCTTGTAATTATTTCCAGATTGCATTGATGGTTTATCGTTGGAAATTTGAGACATAAAAGAATTACAAAACAACTTTTTACTTACAAATTCTTTCATTTGTGAAAAAGTATCTATGATCTCTACATATTTAAAATGGCTTTTTTTATATTTAATTTAGAAATTTCATAAATCTAAAGTAAAGGAAAAATACCACGTGTATATATTAGCCCATTATGGACGTAAATATACAGTATATCAGAATTACAAGTCACTTTCATATGGAATGGTGAAAGTCGTGGACTGAATGCTTTCAATTTATTTAGTTTATGAAAACAAAAGATAAAGTATTCATATTTATTATGTTCTTAGCATGCATATGTATTCATTGAATGAACTGTTTATTTGCGCATTTCAGAACATGTCGCAGCGAGCAGGTGTCCCGTGCCGCACACGTTCTCTTGTTTAGCGCAACGCTGTGCACGGCCTTAGGTTCCTCTGCCGCCAGGCTGCTGCAAAAAACAGACGACACATTTCCCGGTTACCGTCCAAGACAAGCGGCACCCAAACATTTGCAGACGAACCAAAGACTTTCAAATCTTCCAATTGAATTTCAACCGATGTTGACGGAAACTCGACAAAGATATCTCTCGACAACGAGTTTTCCACTTTTCTTCCCTGCCCGCCAAGTTACTGATCGTGAGAAAGAAGAAATCCATTTAAAACCAAACGCTTTGCGCAGGTCACATGGTTTTGATGGTTCTCTCCCTCCTCCAGGGAGGGGCATTGCTCATATACAGACAATTCTAGGACGCTTACCGGGAAAAGAAAAACCATTGAAACAGTTAACGAGAAATTTGAACTTCGAAGATGCAATTTCTAATTTGAGAGACGCTGATGAGAGCAAATTTACAGACACATTTCGATCCAAAATGCTGCGCTTACTGCGAGGAATGAGGCACGTGAAGCCTGACAAACGCCAAGGCGGCACTGGGCCCCCGATGTACCCCCCGGGATGGTGACAACACCCCACGGGACAGGGGTGAAATCTTTGATCAGAACTCAAAATGCTCAATATTGAAGTTACACAATAGACAAAGAAGTATTGAAATATAGCGAGTTTTGCGATTTTTACTAGCATTGTGGTTTTAATCTGTCTTGTTTAGTGAATGGATCGGAATGCATTATCTTTCACAGATTTTCTTCACATTTTCATTTTCTTTTAGCACGATTTAAAAACTGCGTTTCTCGAAAAAAAAGCATCAAATTTAACATCGTACGTGAAGGTTAACGATGAAGCGGATTAGTTATGTGTTTCGTTAGGAAGAAATACGCTTCTGTTAAATAAATTAATTAAAAAAAAAACGTGTTTGGATGTCGTGCACTTAGTGACTGACACCTGCGCATGTGACATTTTGTGAGATAAAACCTGGGAAAGGCGCTTTAGATCGCAAATAAATCGCCATCGAACGTTTTACATTAGATTGCCACGAAACCTTGCTATTTCTTCGTCTGTGTTAACAAAATGAGCCATTGCCGGTAAGTTGACAATTTTAAGCAGACCCGCCCCCCCTCCCCCCACCTCTCCTGGCCTGTCCAATAAAGGGGAAAAGCCGAATTCTTGATCTAGAGAATGCTGAATCAGTTTCAAAATAAGCCCAACTGTAAAACTTTCAACAGGGGAAAATCTCCGTTTTCTTGCATACCGGCCAAGGACAAGTCGCCCGTCTCCAATCGGTCTTTATGTATATCGGTTGGTTAAACCCATATTAATTTCTGAGTTTAATGAATTCAACAACTGTTAAGATATTGCAATGAATTTTGAGATATTTTAGGAAAACGTTTTAAACAAATGCCATGAAGATTTTACGATTCAACCTTTCTTTGTTTTGGTACACCGGAAAAATTAACCATCTTAAGTCAAAAGTGCCATGTCGGCTTATGTGACTGCTGACAGGTGTCGTTATCCGGCAGTTTTGTCACCTGAGAATTGTGTGTGTGTGTGTGTGTGGGGGGGGGGGGGCATCGTTTTTGTAGATCAAAACCCCTAAGTGACTATAAAATGAGCTCGTGCGTCAAAACTACTTGAGAGTGAAAAAGAATTAGTTTTTTTTTTTAATCACACGAGACTGAAGTTGAAAAATCAGTAACTGTTTTATTCAAATATATTATATTCAAATTACATTATACTTGAATGAAAGCGCGCGATTTAGAATCATCCAAACAGAAAGACAACTTTTCAAGTTTAAAATAATATGAAAAACATCTCACTTGAAAAGAGAGTAGTTCTTAAATATTTTTACCTGCACAAAACACAGGATGAGATTTTACATTTTAAACATAAAAATAACTGTTCTCACGTAAATGCATATGGTCTTGTATAGTTACATAATTCAAAGGCGCCAAGTCTTCAGAACAATAAGTTCTGAAAACATTATTTCTACAAAGTACTATCGCGAGAAAATAAATAAATAGAAAGAAAAATTGCTCTAATACAAAAAAAAAAAAAAAAGTCAGATCTTCGGTAATTTACCGACCTCCCTCTCGTGTCGTGTTCCCAGCCCGGCTTGTACGATCTAACTTGGGGACGATCTCGGCAGAATGGTTGAATACGACCAAATCGAAACATGTTCACTTTAGGGAATCTTTGGGGATTCATCATTAACACCGCATTGATCTTGTAAAAGAAATAAATAAAATACACTGACAACGCATTAGAACTACATTGTATGACAGGTAAGCTCCGCAAGCTCCGACTCTTTTTACCTATCATAACTGATCCTTATAGATGCGTTTTCAATGTATTTTATTAATTTCAAGACCGAACACGACTATCAACACGACTTAATGACACACCTTGGGCAAACGTTGAGACACTCGACTTCTTAGCCCCTCTAGTGAGGGTTACACTTCACTGGACAGGTGTAACGTAACTGAGGATCCGTGTAACAGGAGGTCCACCCTCCATTTAGTTATGATGGTTAGGGTTAGCCTGACCTAAGCGGGTCAAAATCTAGAGCGAGGCTTTAATACCTGTAGAAATGAATGGTCATGGGGGACTCTGTCACGTTACACCGGTCGATTTTGAGAGATTGTCCACTTGATAAACTGGCCAGAAGTTGCCTAAAAAGAGCTCCAGCGTTCTACACGGCTAATTTAACTTATCAAATAGCAGGTGGCAAAGAGGATGTAAAATGATAATGATTATAATAATAATAAATAATAATAATAATAAAACAAATAAAAAATAAAAACTGAAACTTAACCACAAGTTTGGGCCTCTCAATGTGTACCACAGCCTGATGGAAACCTTTGAATCCAGCACATCATACTGCCCCATAGGACTTGTTGCAACTTTTCCATGTTATTAAAAAAACCTGCAACAGATTATATCAGTAAATATCTACCATTTTAACAGATCTAGGAAAATCAAACAGCTGTCTATTGTAGCTCAGGTATACAAAGAGATAAAATAATCAGACGTTAATCTTAAACAATATCTAACAAAGCAGCTAGGACACTGCATCAGCTGTTCTACCAGTAACACATGATGCAGAGTTGGTGTGACAGGAATGGCAGGCCTAGGAATAGAATTCCTAGGAATGAAAGTCTTGAGTACAATATAATAAGTATAGGTCGGGTTAAGCAGTGGAGTATCGGAGCAAGTATATGGACGAATGCCACCAGTACAAAGTAATGGGGAATGGACTAAGGTTTCTATCAGACTNGGGCATCGTTTTTGTAGATCAAAACCCCTAAGTGACTATAAAATGAGCTCGAGCGTCAAAACTACCTGAGAGTGAAAAAGAATTAGTTTTTTTTAAAATCACACGAGACTGAAGTTGAAAAATCAGTAACTGTTTTATTCAAATATATTATATTCAAATTACATTATACTTGAATGAAAGCGCGCGATTTAGAATCATCCAAACAGAAAGACAACTTTTCAAGTTTAAAATAATATGAAAAACATCTCACTTGAAAAGAGAGTAGTTCTTAAATAATTTTACCTGCACAAAACACAGGATGAGATTTTACATTTTAAACATAAAAATAACTGTTCTCACGTAAATGCATATGGTCTTGTATAGTTACATAATTCAAAGGCGCCAAGTCTTCAGAACAATAAGTTCTGAAAACATTATTTCTACAAAGTACTATCGCGAGAAAATAAATAAATAGAAAGAAAAATTGCTCTAATACAAAAAAAAAAAAAAAAAAAAGTCAGATCTTCGGTAATTTACCGACCTCTCTCTCGTGTCGTGTTCCCAGCCCGGCTTGTACGATCTAACTTGGGGACGATCTCGGCAGAATGGTTGAATACGACCAAATCGAAACATGTTCACTTTAGGGCATCTTTGGGGATTCATCATTAACACCGCATTGATCTTGTAAAAGAAATAAATAAAATACACTGACAACGCATTAGAACTACATTGTATGCCTCAAGCTCCGAATAGCTCCGACTCTTTTTACCTATCATAACTGATCCTTATATAGATGCGTTTTCAATGTATTTTATTAACTTCAGGACCGAACACGACTATCAACACGACTTAATAGCACACCTTGGGCAAACGTTGAGACACTCGACTTCTTAGCCCCTCTAGTGAGGGTTACACTTCACTGGACAGGTGTAACGTAACTGAGGATCCGTGTAACAGGAGGTCCACCCTCCATTTAGTTATGATGGTTAGGGTTAGCCTGACCTAAGCGGGTCAAAATCTAGAGCGTGGCTTTAATACCTGTAGAAATGAATGGAAAGCGGACTCCCGGTCATGGGGGACTCTGTCACGTTACACCGGTCGATTTTGAGAGATTGTCCACTTGATAAACTGGCCAGAAGTTGCCTACAAAGAGCTCCAGCATTCTACACGGCTAATTTAACTTATCAAATAGCAGGTGGCAAAGAGATTTTGTAAAATGATAATGATTATAAATAATAATAAATAATAATAAATAATAAAACAAATAAAAAATAAAAACTGAAACTTAACCACAAGTTCGGGCCTCTCAATGTGTACCACACCCTGATGGAAACCTTTGAATCCAGCACATCATACTGCCCCATAGGACTTGTTGCAACTTTTCCATGTTATTAAAAAAACCTGCAACAGATTATATCAGTAAATATCTACCATTTTAACAGATCTAGGAAAATCAAACAGCTGTCTATTGTAGCTCAGGTATACAAAAAGATAAAATAATCAGACGTTAACCTTAAACAATATCTAACAAAGCAGCTAGGACACTGCATCAGCTGTTCTACCAGTAACACATGATGCAGAGTTGGTGTGACAGGAATGGCAGGCCTAGGAATAGAATTCCTAGGAATGAAAGTCTTGAGTACAATATAATAAGTATAGGTCGGGTTAAGCAGTGGAGTATCGGAGCAAGTATATGGACGAATGCCACCAGTACAAAGTAATGGGGAATGGACTAAGGTTTCTATCAGACTGTCACACCTGTCACACTGACACAACCCTGGCTGTCATCAACAGGACTGACCTGAGAAACCATACTGGTCTTCTTAACATGTGCCTCATACAGAAGCTGATACTTGACATTTATTTGTTGGCTTTACCTGTGTTTCAGCCCTCTCACTATGTGTATCCTCACTAAGGGTTAGGGCAATGAGGAGGTATAAAAACTTTAGAAACTAGTTTATCGCAGCAACTAAGGTATAAATCCCTGTACCATTAAACTAACATGAAAAATACTGAAAGACAACTGGACACTTTGGTAATCAGTATACTGAATAACATGAAGCAACACAGAGATAAGAAAACCTTGAGTGAGAGATCAAATAATTGCTATATGAAATGCATGAATATCTAAGTCACAACTTAGATCTCCTCTGGCACAAAACTTGTTTCAAAATATGCCAGCTTTATAAATTTTCTCCCAGAATAAGGCCCTCCTCTTGGTATGTGGATTTTTAAATTCATTTAAGCCAAGATGATTTATAACTCTCAGTTCTCATCCATATTTCACACCCTCTAAAATATTCAGGTAAGGTTGTAAATCAGACAACTGGCTGCATTTGAGGTAATTTTCTCTTTGGTTTAGCACCGCCATACCCATTGGGGTTATCCATGACTGTCACACTAGAAGGAGCCACCTCAGCTGGTTCCAGATAACTGAAAGAGTGGCCTGAGGCGGCCCTGTCTGTCCGTGCCCCATTGGTCGTGTCTGCAGCCTGCCGTGTGCTGTCTGAGACAGCTAGCCCTGCAGGGTCCCTGTGCAAAGAGGCAATAAGTATATGATCATCTCCCAAAGATGGGTGGTCCTCGAGAGACCCAGGCTCCTCTGGGCCAGGGTATAAGCCATTTGTTTGTCTGCTTTTGAACTCTTCATTCTGAAGACTTGAGAGGCGCACAGAAAGTTCTTCTGCAAATTTTTCACCGCCATCTTGATGAATGCTCACCCCTTGTCTGGGTGGATTTGAGAATCTTTGTCCTCCTTTTTTTCTTTTTCCTCTTCGCCCTCTTCCAGAATGGACTGAGTGATCAAATTGGTTATTATCCAAACCTCCTGAGTTTCTTAACTGACTGCCATATTGGCACGAATAGATGTCTCCTCCATAAAGTCCATCTCCCCTGTGAGATTGTTTACTCCTGTGTTTTTGTTTTCGGGAACCACCCCCTGTATCAAAAGGAGTGAAAGGAACCTTTCCTGAGTGTGAAGGGTTTAAGCTATAACCCACAGCCCCTTCTAAATCAAGGGGCCCCTGGCCACCAGAGGGCAGTTTGGCATTGATACTGTCTTGGACAGACTCGCTCTGAAACTTGACATCAGCTTCTCTTGGCTGAAGTGCAGTAGAGCTCACAGCCCCATCTACAGTTGTTTTCTGTGCCACTGAAACTTTTTCTTTAATTTTATCACTTGATCCACCTGGCACTTGTGGAGCATCTTTTTTGTCCTGATGATGTCTTCTGTTGGCAGAGGATTGACCTGCGTCTGCGAATGGTTCAGCTACTGCTGGGGCCTCCATGTTTAAGATTAACTGCTCGCGACGTTTGGAATGTTTGCGTCTTTTGTAGCAAACAAAGCCCACAGCAACACCGAGGCTGATGACGGTGACAGTTACAAATATCCCAGCGAGGGCCGCAGCTACAGGGTTGGTGGTGCCACCTGGTGACAGACATAGTATACTTTACACAATAGGCAAAATAGTTTGAAATAAGACTTCTTCTTATGCAATGAAAATTACTCACGGCAAAGAGGATAATATTAATATGTAGAAAAGAGATGATATGCAGAAATCTGAAGGAATGGCCCCCATAAAAGATGATTAAATTTAAATAATATAGCCATGGTCTTATTCTCTCTCTCTTTCTCTCACTCACACACACACAGAGGCTCACCGTGACAGTCTTCTGTGCTAACCATAGTGGAGGTCTTCAGAAACCTGTTCACTCCTTCTTTAGACATTATAATCCAGGCCTATGAATAACAAACAACACTCACTTTAGTCTGGGAGTTAGTGCTTTAACAGCCACTGACAGTGCTCAACATGGTCTAGTCTATCTTATAATCTACCAGCAAAAATTAAGGACACCTATTACAATCGGAGTTGTGTTTGAAACCAGACCTTAATGAATCTAAACAGACATTTTGCTAAAAAGAGGATGACAGTCTTTTCCCTGGTCGCATTTCTCTCAACATCAAAATCAGTAAATTAATTAGTTTTTTCCCAAAAAAATCATTTTCCCTTACAGCCATCCTAAGCTCTGGTTTGTCCTGCCAGAAATATCTGTCAATCTGAAACTGCATGTACGTCTCCTCTGTGTAGTTACCAATCCGCTGTGTCTCCCCATCATTGGCAAACGTGTGCTTCCATGTGAAAGGTGGCTGGTCATTCTTAAATGAAAGATAAAAATTGCCATTTTTTTACGCCATAAATATTTTTGGAGATTTTTTCATAATTGTTATCTTCTTGTCAAACAAAGAGGGGCTAAATATTCTAAAATTAAGGAAAACCGTAAACCCCAGAGTGGCATTAATAGGCTATAACTAATCTATAGCTCTATGGAGACATCTAAATATTATATATCAGCTTACCTGTAGCTCTACAGTGAAATCTTTATACATTATATATTTACTTACCTGTAGCTGCATGGTGACATCTATATATTATATATTAACTTACCTGTAGCTCTATGGTGACATCTATATATTATATATTAACTTACCTGTAGCTCTACAGTGACATCTATATATTATATATTAACTTACCTGTAGCTCTACAGTGACATCTATTGGCTGGTGACACTTGTTGATAGTGGATGTTATGGTGACATTATATTGTTTCACAGTTGTCCTGCAGCGGGAGACGAGGTCCACAAAGAAGCAGGCGTCTGGGTCAGCTGAAGAACAAGATGATATATATATAATAGAATGCTTTTTTATTTATAATAACATAGTTCGAAGATAACAGCTGAGAGTAGAGATGAAAAAAGAAATATATATATAAATTAATAATATAAATAATAAAATAATTATTAAATATATGATAAATGATAAATCTAATAAGATAAAATTTGCTAGAACTTTTTTCCATATTTTAGACATTACTATAAATGTGAAATTTAAAACTGTACATTGCATTATAATTTCAGAGTACCTGCCCCCCCCCCCCCGTTTTTTATACATATGGTACATCCTTCAAAATAGAAAGCAGAGTGGCACCTGCCTTAGAAAATGCAGCAAAAAATCAAAAGTAACAGCTAAGACTGACACAGTTCACATAATTTTAAGCCCTTAATAAAATGTTATTTAACATAATTATTTAGTGTTTGGTTATAAATACTTTCAGATGACCTCTAGATCTTCAATTAATTGACCAAATATAAATCACTGCAAGGTCCGTAATTTAACAGAAAAATTAAAAATAAAACTACCTGTTATACTAGCCAGCAGGCTCAGGGAAATTAAGCAGGCGACGGTCGTGTAACAGCAAGCAGTCATTTTACACGATAGCTCTACATTCCAAGCATAAATTCGGTGATTTCGCTTTGGGCAGGTCGACGCTCACTTCAGCCTAACGTGTGATTCCAGCGCTTAACCTTCATATTAAGGACCTAGAATAATCAGATATCCATAATTTCACTTCAGTTTTGTCCTGATCCACTTAGGAGGTAACAGTGAAGAGGTATGGAGAGGAAACCGTTGAGCAAACACAAAGAGGCTTCATCATGACCTCATCTACAACATTCTTGCTTGGACTTGGCAAAAAGCGGGGTAAATCTTACTTATATAGGGATATTTTGAAACAATTTCTCATACAAATTTGTTTTAAAAATCTATAAAAATATCTTTATGATACACAATCCTAGTAATAACATTAAATGAATTATATATTTCAGTTAACTTCGCACTCAGTTTTCAATAATCATTCCGATAAAATTCTTGTTTCATACGAGCTCGTTGCCCGTATCAACTTCCGGTTCGCGTGAAACTAGGTCAGATGCAGGTCGGGAGGTGCAGCAACTGCAGCAGCGAATAATTTACCCATTTAATGTCATGACATGGCTGAATCGCAATATGCCAAGAGCATTGAGCTCTCACATGCAGAGGCATTCAGAAATATGAAAAATGCAAAAAGATTTGCAATTGATATAGGTAAGTTGTGAAGCTGTCGACTGTCACTGTGTCAGATTGCTCTGTTGTTTAATAAGTGCATGCATTGGAGTTTTACAGGAACTTGAAGAAGTCATACTCGTACTCGGCTGTCGCCTAGATCGGTTACTGAATGCCAAAACATATAGATACTTAAAAGTACCACGTTTGTCTACCGTTATTTAAAAGAAAATATTAAGTTTCATTTGAAAAAAATTTTAAAAAATTCCAATTTTCTTAATAATTTTTGTTTTTAATTATTAGTTGGGCTAGTTGGACCCCGGGGTAAATTGGACCCCCATCAAGTCTCTTTAATAAAGTTACTTTTAGATGCTAAATTATTTCATTTGGACTCACTGCCAACGCTTTCTTAGCACTATTGGATACGGTCGCTTTACAAAATGATGTGATCAATTCTTTTACCCCATGAGGCATATAGTTACTTTGTTATAAATTGATGGGGGGGGGCAACTTACCCTGGGGTCCAACTAGCCTCGATCGGTCTTCCCTATTTAATGTAGTTTTTAGATTCATTAACTGATCAGGGTGACAGCTGATTCTGCTGTGCTAGAATTTGAGGGATAAAGGTGAAAGGTGGAAATGTTATTCTTTTACTGCCTTCACTCAGCTGGAGATATATTACATCATTTTTCCCATGTGTTTTCATTTCATTCCATTGAGGTGGTTCCCTGGCCAAGCTTGCCTACATTTCCACAGTACAGAGGAAGAAGTCACTACTGGCAGAGGGCCATAATAATCTGGAGGTACACATAGTAGAGCTACTGAACTAGTCCAAGAAGATGGTTTTACGTAGAGTGGCTAACTCTGTGCATTGATGTGTATTCGGCATACTATTTAGGACTATTACTCCCATTGTATACTGAGATTATTCTGTTGTTTTAACGTAAGGCATTAGACGATTCTATGCATTCTGAGTACTGTTATGATGCCAGTTCTGTTTAAGTTTTATGTTAAATTATTTTGAGCTCTAGCAAATTGTACAGTGATGAGATACCATTGATTTCATGTACTTAATCTTCAAGGACACACCTGTCACACCCACATGATTGTTACACACACACCCCATAGCCCACCCACCCCATGGTTACCCCTACCCCNGCGTTACTCTTGGTATGTGGATTTTTAAATTCATTTAAGCCAAGATGATTTATAACTCTCAGTTCTCATCCATATTTCACATCCTCTAAAATATTCAGGTTGTAAATCAGACAACTGGCTGCATTTGAGGTAATTTTCTCTTTGGTTTAGCACCGCCATACCCATTGGGGTTATCCGTGACTGTCACACTAGAGGGAGCCACCTCAGCTGGTTCCAGATAACCAAACGAGTGGCCTGAGGCAGCCCTGTCTGTCCGTGCCCCATTGGTCATGTCTGCAGTCTGCCGTGTGCTGTCTGAGACAGCTAGCCCTGCAGGGTCCCTGTGCAAAGAGGCAATAAGTATATGATCATCTCCCAAAGATGGGTGGTCCTCAAGAGACCCAGGCTCCTCTGGGCCAGGGTATAAGCCATTTGTTTGTCTGCTTTTGAACTCTTCATTCTGAAGACTTGAGAGGCGCACAGAAAGTTCTTCTGCAAATTTTTCACCGCCATCTTGATGAACGCTCACCCCTTGTCTGGGTGGATTTGAGAATCTTTGTCCTCCTTTTTTTCTTTTTCCTCTTCGCCCTCTTCCAGAATGGACTGAGTGATCAAATTGGTTATTATCCAAACCTCCTGAGTTTCTTAACTGACTGCCATATTGGCACGAATAGATGTCTCCTCCATAAAGTCCATCCCCCCTGTGAGATTGTTTACTCCTGTGTTTTTGTTTTCGGGAACCACCCCCTGTATCAAAAGGAGTGAAAGGAACCTTTCCTGAGTGTGAAGGGTTTAAGCTATAACCCACAGCCCCTTCCAAATCAAGGGGCCCCTGGCCACCAGAGGGCAGTTTGGCATTGATGCTGTCTTGGACAGACTCGCTCTGAAACTTGACATCAGCTTCTCTTGGCTGAAGTGCAGTAGAGCTCACAGCCCCATCTACAGTTGTTTTCTGTGCCACTGAAACTTTTTCTTTAATTTTATCACTTGATCCACCTGGGACTCGTGGAGCATCTTTTTTGTCCTGATGATGTCTTCTGTTGGCAGACGATTGACCTGCGTCTGCAAATGGTTCAGCTACTGCTGGGGCCTCCATGTTTAAGATTAACTGCTCGCGACGTTTGGAATGTTTGCGTCTTTTGTAGCAAACAAAGCCCACAGCAACACCGAGGCTGATGACGGTGACAGTTACAAATATCCCAGCAAGGGCTGCAGCTACAGGGTTGGTGGTGCCACCTGGTGACAAACATCATAGTGTATGTTACACAACAGGCACAATAGTTTGAAATAAGACTTCTTCTTATACAATGAAAATTACTCAGGGCAAAGAGGATAATATTAATATGCAGAAAAGTGATGATATGCAGAAATCTGAAGGAATGGCCTCCGTAAAAGATTATTAAATTAAAATAATATAGCCATGGTCTTATTCTCTCTCTCTCTCTCTCTTTCTCTCACTCACACACACACACACAGAGGCTCACCGTGACAGTCTTCTGTGCTAACCATAGTGGAGGTCTTCAGAAACCTGTTCACTCCTTCTTTAGACATTATAATCCAGGCCTATGAATAACAAACAACACTCACTTTAGTCTGGGAGTTAGTGCTTTAACAGCCACTGACAGTGCTCAACATGGTCTAGTCTATCTTATAATCTACCAGCAAAAACAAAGGACACCTATTACAATCAAAGAATGGAAATTAATTCACGGAGTTGTGTTTGAAACCACACCTTCATGAATCTAAACAGACATTTTGCTAAAAAGAGGATGACAGTCTTTTCCCTGGTCGCATTTCTCTGTACATCAAAATCAGTAAATTAATTAGATGTTTTTTTTTCTGAAATCATTTTCCCTTACAGCCATCCTAAGCTCTGGTTTGTCCTGCCAGAAATATCTGTCAATCTGGAACTGCATGTACGTCTCCTCTGTGTAGTTACCAATCCGCTGTGTCTCCCCATCATTGGCAAACGTGTGCTTCCATGTGAAAGGTGGCTGGTCATTCTTAAATGAAAGATAAAAATTGCAATTTTTTTACGCCATAAATATTTTTGGAGATTTTTTCATAATTGTTATCTTCTTGTCAAACAAAGAGGGGCTAAATATTCTAAAATTAAGGAAAAACGTAAACCCCAGAGTGGCATTAATAGGCTATAACTAATCTATAGCTCTATGGAGACATCTAAATATTATATAAATATCAGCTTACCTGTAGCTCTACAGTGAAATCTTTATACATTATATATTTACTTACCTGTAGCTGCATGGTGACATCTATATATTATATATATTAACTTACCTGTAGCTCTACAGTGACATCTATATATTATATATTAACTTACCTGTAGCTCTACAGTGACATCTATATATTATATATTAACTTACCTGTAGCTCTACAGTGACATCTATTGGCTGGTGACACTTGTTGATAGTGGATGTTATGGTGACATTATATTGTTTCACAGTTGTCCTGCAGCGGGAGACGAGGTCCACAAAGAAGCAGGCGTCTGGGTCAGCTGAAGAACAAGATGATATATATAATAGAATGTTTTTTTATTTATAATAACATAGTTCGAAGATAACAGCTGAGAGTAGAGATGAAAAAAGAAATATATATATATAAATTAATAATATAAATAATAAAATAATTATTAAATATATGATAAATAATAAATCTAATAAGATAAAATTTGCTAGAACTTTTTTCCATATTTTAGACTCTACTATAAATGTGAAATTTAAAACTGTATATTGCAGTATAATTTCAGAGTACCTGCCCCCCCCCCCCTTTTTTATACATATGGTACATCCTTCAAAATAGAAAGCAGAGTGGCACCTGCCTTAGAAAATGCAGCAAAAAATCAAAAGTAACAGCTAAGACTGACACAGTTCACATAATTTTAAGCCCTTAATAAAATGTTATTTAACATAATTATTTAGTGTTTGGTTATAAATACTTTCAGATGACCTCTAGATCTTCAATTAATTGACCAAATATAAATCACTGCAAGGTCCGTAATTTAACAAAAAAATTAAAAATAAAACTACCTGTTATACTAGCCAGCAGGCTCAGGGAAATTAAGCAGGCGACGGTCGTGTAACAGCAAGCAGTCATTTTACACGATAGCTCTACATTCCACGCAAAAATTCGGTGATTTCGCTTTGGGCAGGTCGACGCTCACTTCAGCCTAACGTGTGATTCCAGCGCTTAACCTTCATATTAAGGACCTAGAATAATCAGATATCCATAATTTTGCTTCAGTTTTGTCCTGATCCACTTAGGAGGTAACAGTGAAGAGGTATGGAGAGGAAACCGTTGAGCAAACACAAAGAGGCTTCATCATGACCTCATCTACAACTTTCTTGCTTGGACTTGGCAAAAAGCGAGGTAAATCTTACTTATATAGGGATATTTTGAAACAATTTCTCATAAAATTTTGTTTTAAAAATCTATAGAAATATCTAAATGATACACAATCCTAGTAATAATATTAAATGAATTATACATTTCAGTTAATTTCGCATTCAGTTTTCAATAATCATTCCGATAAAATTCTTGTTTCATACGAGCTCGTTGCTGGTATCAACTTCCGGTTCGCGTGAAACTAGGTCAGATGCAGGTCGGGAGGTGCAGCAACTGCAGCAGCGAATAATTTACCCATTTAATGTCATGACATGGCTGAATCGCAATATGCCAAGAGCATTGAGCTCTCACATGCAGAGGCATTCAGAAATATGAAAAATGCAAAAAGATTTGCAATTGATATAGGTAAGTTTTGAAGCTGTCGACTGTCAGATTGCTCTGTTGTTTAATAAGTGCATGTACTGGAGTTTTACAGGAACTTGAAGAAGTCATGCTCGTACTCGGCTGTCACCTAGATCGATTACTGAATGCCAAAACATATAGATACTTAAAAGTACCACGTTTGTTTACCATAATTCAAAGGAAAATATTAAGTTTTCTTTGAAATTTTTTTAAAAATCTCCAATTTTCCGAATAATTTTTGTTTTTAATTTTTATTATTATATATATTTTTTATTTCATTTTATTTATTTATTTGCTTGTTTGTTATCTATAATGTAGACTGGGTTCCCATGCAGTAATGTGGTATTCTTGAGTTAGGGAAGATCGGGGCTAGTTGGACCCTGGGGTAAGTTGACCCCCCATCAAGTCTCTTTAATAAAGTTACTTTTAGATGCTAAATTATTTCATTTGGACTCACTGCCAATGCTTTCTTAGCACTATTGGATACGGTCACTTTACAAAATGATGTGATCAATTCTTTTACCCCATAAGGCATATAGGTACTTTGTTATAAATTGATTGGGGGGGGGGGGGGGCAACTTACCCCGGGGTCCAACTAGCCTCAGTCTTCCCTATTTAATGTAGTTTTTAGATTCATTAACTTATCAGGGTGACAGCTGATTCTGCTGTGCTAGAATTTGAAGGATAAAGGTAAAAGGTGGAAATGGTATTCATTCTTGCCTTCACTCCACTGGAGAATATTATATCATTTTTCCCATGTGTTTTCATTTCTTTCCATTGAGGTGGTTCCCTGGCCAAGCTTGCCTACATTTCCACAGTACAGAGGAAGAAGTCACTACTGGCAGAGGGCCTTGATAATCTGGAGGTACACATAGTAGAGCTGCTGAACTAGTCCAAGAAGATGGTTTTAAGTAGAGTGGATAACTCTGTGCATTCTGCATACTATTTAGGACTATTACTCCCATTGTATACTGAGATTATTCTATTGTTTTAACATAAGGCATTAGACAAGTTCTGTGCATTCTGAGGACTGTTATATGTTGCCAGGTCTGTTTAAGTTTTATGTTAAATAACTTTGAGCTCTAGCAAATTGTACAGTGATGAGATACCATTGATATCATGTACTTAATCTTCAAGGACACACCTGTCACACCCACCTGATTGTCACACACACACCCCATAGCCCACCTACCCCACTGTCACCCCTACCCCACTGCCATACCCACCCACCTTTGCACCCACCCCACCATCACACTCAGTGCTTCAGTTTTTCAATTTTCTCCGTTACCAACTTAATTTATATTTTTCTCCAGAATGCAGAGCATATATACACAGTTGTGGAGGACATTGAGAACCAAGATGCCTTACATTTTGTGAAGTTTGAGAGTAAATTTATAGAGACCTGCCTGGACTTCATCCAGGGAAACCTACTGCCAGCAAATAAGGAGAACCTGAAGAACAAGGTCATCAAGGTCACAGGAGGGGGAGCCTTCAAGTACAAGGATTTGATAACCAGTAAATTAGGGGTACAGTAAGTGTTAGGTTTGTGAGTATGTTTGTTTTTTGTTTTGATTATTGTGCATGATAAATTATAACAAAATTTGCGTGCATTCACACAGTTATATCTAGTTCACTTTCTAGAAGAGGCCTTTCGTTTACAGTTGTTTTCTAAATATATAGTTCCTGATTCAGAACCTTGACACCATAAGTGTTAAATGTGTATCCATCATTGCACCCTCCAGGGTAGATAAAGAAGATGAGATGTGTAATGTGCATACTCCAGGGTAGATAAAGAAGATGAGATGTGTAATGTGTATACTCCAGGGTAGATAAAGAAGATGAGATGTGTAATGTGTAATGTGTATACTCCAGGGTAGATAAAGAAGATGAGATGTGTAATGTGTATACTCCAGGGTAGATAAAGAAGATGAGATGTGTAATGTGTGTACTCCAGGGTAGATAAAGAAGATGAGATGTGTAATGTGTAATGTGTATACTCCAGGGTAGATAAAGAAGATGAGATGTGTAATGTGTATACTCCAGGGTAGATAAAGAAGATGAGATGGAGTGTTTGATAAAAGGTTGCAACTTTCTTCTGAAGAACATCTCTGATGAGGCATTCACCTATGTCAAACATGGCAACCCCGAGTACGACTTCCAGGCTGTGGGATCCGACCCAGAAATATTTCCGTATTTATTGGTCAATATAGGGTCTGGAGTGAGCATATTGAAGGTGAGGGTCTTGGTTAAATAATGTTGAAATACCTCTTTCATTAGGTCTTGAGTAAATATATTATAATTTAGTATATCAGTTAAAAAAAGATCAAAAGGAAGATATATATATATATATAAATTATTTGTTACTTTCAAAAAAAAAAATAAATAAATAAATAACATGAAAAGTCTTATACACTTTGAAAAGCTTCTATATTTATAATTATTAAAACAAAATAAAGACTTAATATGTATACCAGTCAACGATAAGTTGTGCAATTTTAAATTTATTGATCAGTGCTGCTGTAATATTGCAGGTAGAGGCAGATGGTCAATATGAGAGAGTTGGAGGCACGTCAATGGGAGGAGGAACATTCTGGGGTCTTGGATCTCTCCTCACCAAGGCTAAGGTATTTACAGTGTGATGTTTAAACTAGTGGCACAACTAACACAATTAGCTATCTTTGTCACATCTGGCACATTTGCCCTGCCAATCTTGACTTACAGAGACTATTTGTTATTCATTGGTCATTTTACTTTTATTTCCTATACTCAAGGCTTTGATGAGCTGTTACAGCTTTTTGTCTGTATATTTGACAGCTTTGCTGCCTTATTATTGTTATTTCCCACACTCAGGGATTTGATGAGCTGTTACAACTGGCAGCAAAGGGAGACCACAGGAACATTGACATGTTGGTGAAGGACATCTATGGAGGAGCTTACAACAGGGTGGGCCTGGCCTCTGATGTCATCGCCAGCAGTTTTGGGAGAGCAGCTCGGTCCGCACAGGAGAGACAGTGTAGGTGAAGACTGCCACTAGTTACATTTCACTGGGCTAGGAAGAGATGAGATTTTCCACTCTTGTGACCAGCTCACATGCAAGTCTCTTATTACGTGTATATATGTATTAACCATAGCATAGGGCTCCTTCTTTGTTCCATATGGGGTTAATAAATAAACGATTAATAAATAGCATGTAAAATGATTTACATAAATCTCCACATCAGAACTGTCATATTTGATATTTCTTATTTGTTTGTTATGTCAGATGCAGACTTCAAGTCAGAAGATATTGCTAAGAGTCTCCTGATCAGTATTAGCAATGACATAGGACAACTGGCTTATCTACACGCCAAGTTTCACAAACTGAAGAAAATATACTTTGGTGGCTTCTTCATCCGTGGTCACCCTATGACTATGCAGACCATCTCTTTCGCTATTAGTTTTTGGTCTAAAGTGAGTATTTTATTGCCTGAATCTGAGGGATTTATTAACTCAGTTTGACTGCCATATTTTTTGAAAAATTTGTAGCTGAACAGATTTTGTTCACATAAAAAAATTTTTTTAATGATATTGAGACGATGGAAAATATGGAATTTGTAATTTATTTATTTATTATTTTTGGGGGGCAAATAGAATGAATAATTTGACACATTTGACACATTTGAAGAACTGTATGGTGAAGGAATGAGAGAAGTATTTTTACAATGCGTTTCACTGTCACACCTAGCACAATTACCCACTTCACTGTCACACCTAACACAATTACTCACTTCACTGTCACACCTAGCATAATTACCCATTTCACTGTCACACCTAGCACAATTACCCACTTCACTGTCACACCTAGCACAATTACCTACTGCCCGTTTCAGGGAGAGATCCAAGCTCTATTTCTCAGACATGAGGGATACCTTGGGGCCATAGGAGCCTTTCTGAAAGGAGCTGAGGAGGAGGGTAAGTGGACCTCAGTCCCTCATTTGTCACACTTCACTAAATATATATTTAATATAATAATGTGTATTAGTTATTACTTTCATCAGATGCATACATTTGGTATTGTTATTTTTAATAAAACACAGTTTGATATGCTCAGTACAATGAGTAGTAGTTTAAAATGTAATTGATATCTACGACCAATTATATCAGAACACTTGAGCCAATGAGAACATCTGTTTTTGGTTGATGAAGATAATAAGCCTCTCAATAAAGATGATATAAATGTACACAAAATGGTCTGTAAACAGACTTGTTAGTGGAACACATTGCTTCCGAGTCACAGCATTGAGAAATAGACACAAGAAAACAAGAAAATGTGTATAAGCGCCTCTGTTTGTCTTATTCCAGAGGCTGACAAGTACTCGTGGATTGAGGACTACGCAGGCAGCTCTGGTCTGCAGAGTCCTAGGACCAGTAAAGTCCCTCTGAGGGAGAGAAAGTCTACAGTAAGTTTAACCTATTTGTTAATTTTTTTTTTTTTTTGGGGGGGGGGGGGTGTCAATAATATAACCCAACTTGTTGATTGAGGAAGAGAAAGACAACAGGAAGTTAAGCCTCCTTGTTGTTGATTATCCCATTAAGTCCTGGCTCCAGTCGGTTGTGCTCCCAAATCTGAAGCTCTTGTGACAATTATGGTTTATGAGGCCTGGCATATTTTGGGTATCTCCTGTTATATTTTCCAGTTTGACATGCTAGAATTACACAGGTTCTCCAACCCACTGGTCAACTGTCCACTACTGTTGGACCCATCCAGTTATTTCCCTGATGTAGTGGACCTTACCCAGGACGCGGCCGCCAGGGAGTACTGGCTGCAGTGCTTTGAGGAAGCCACTGATAAGGTGACAAAATAGTTAGGATAATTATTATTATGGATTTTACTGAAATCAGAGTGAATGTTGAAGCTAGAGAAAAATTAGCTTCTCTTATAGACAGTTCTACATGTTCAGATTGATAATGATTTGTGTTTGAACTAAATGAAGTTTTTGGACAGTTTATGTTATGTCATAATGAATACATAGGATCATGTTATAGTCAGCATTTTCAGTATTTTGTTAGATATAAGTTATTTTAATTTTTGATAACAGTATATCTATTTTTCCAACAACATTGATATTGGTTATTCTGACCATGACTATTGTGCTGGTAGTAACTGTTGCTACCTCCACACTGGCAGAAGCCAACGAGGCTCAAAACAGACTGCACTGTTCACGAAGTTCTGTAATGATCAGAATTACAAATGTGGTATCATTTTTGGTTTCTATTAGTTTGTGGAACGTGCTATTGCCAGTCAGCCAGACTCCGTAGACGCCAGTGACAGGGCTGCCAAGTTCAAGGACAAATATTTACAGAGATTGAAGGAGTTTAAGGCAAATCCATCGTAAGTCATGTGACAAGAAAAGACGTGAAAATCAGCAACCTTTACTTTCATGCTTAAAAAAACTATTTTTTTATGCTGAGAAAAAGAAAACACTGTATGAGATTGGAATGTCCTAATTTGACCTACTTACATGTAAATAAGAATCATTTTCTAAGTTTGTTCAGATCAGTCCAATATGTTGAATTCAAAAGAAATATACATAATCTCTTATTTCATTAATTTCTAATCTATATAAGATACATCTATATAAAGGTAATTTGTATTATACTTTTCAGAGCATTTGGGTCATTAACAGTCCGTAGTCTTTTAGATACAAGAGAACATTTTTTAAAGGAGTCAAGTTTCTCGGACCCATACATTCAGGTGAGACATGACCCATGCATCCTGAAGGGATCAGTATTTTAGACCTCAGTCCTTCCCAGCTATCTTTGATAACTGCTTCATTTATACCTCAAGCTTTTCCCTTAGGATACCTATAGAGTAACTTCTGTCCTTGGGTGATATCACTCTCTGATTTCATGATTTTTTATCTTGTAATTTTTTTTCATATTTAAAGAGGCATTTGTTATCTTTTCCAGAAAGTAATAACAGACTTGAAAATAAACAAAAATGAATGATGAATCATATTTAGTGACTTATTTCAATGGCATTTGTTCTTACCTATGTTTTGTGCTTTTTACAGCAAAAGCAATTTGAAAATGAACAGGCTTTGAAGCATCTAGAGGACCATCTGAAGTTTTTAGACAGCTTGTCTTGGCAGGCTAAACAGCTGGCCCTGGTGGAGGGTTTGCTGGCGGGGAATGTGTTTGACTGGGGAGCCAAGGAAGTGGTGAACATCATGGAGGAGGGCCAGTTTGGGTTCACAGAGGCCAGGGCTAGGCTGCAAGGTGAGAGTCACATTCTTTCTCAACCAGCTGTCACAACTAACACAATGCTGGGATGAATGCACAGAGAGGTGTGGTAGCCAGGTTTTGTACATTTATACCACATTACCTAACTGGGTTATCATAACACCATATTCATTTAGTTCACAGTTCAACAAATGAGGCAATTTGTTTACCATTTTCAAACACAATGATTGACAGAAAGATGCCTTCCCAGGCTTATTAAATTTTAAAGACCATTATAATTTTAATTATAATTCTTTAAAAATGGCTCTGAAATTATCCCTGAAAAACCTTGGATGTCAGAACGGAATGATGCCAAGCAAAACTAGAAAGTGTGCAACATTATTTTTGACCACACTTCTCCAAATCCCATGAAATTTAGCTTTATTTCACACAATCAATCTCAAATGATTCCCATTGGTGATTTTAACGTTTTTAACTCCCAGCGAGGCCCTGGTTGGTGGATAACTATGAGCAGTGGTTAGAGAGGCTGAAAGGTCCCGTCCACAACTGTGCCGTCATCTTCTGTGACAACAGTGGCATTGACATTATACTGGGAGTGTTTCCATTTGCCAGGGAGCTGCTCTCTAGAGGGACTAAGGTAGATGAGATAGTATAATTAGTAAAACTTCATCATGAGTATAATGAGAATATGTTAAATGAAATATTATGTGTTACCTCTAACCTAGGAATACCTCTCACTCACCTGTATTACCTGTGAGATATTATAATACTCTCTCTCTCACCTGTTCCAGGTAATCTTATGTGCTAACACCATGCCAGCACTGAACGATGTCACATACAGTGAAGTGATAATACTTGCCAAAAGAGTGGCCGCCATCTCTGAGACGATCTCCCGGGCGTTAGCAGAGGAGAGACTGGTGATAATGGAGTCTGGACAGGCTTCTCCTTGTCTTGATCTCAGGTAACAGTCTGGACTGGCTTCTCCTTGTCTTGATCTCAGGTAACAGTCTGGACTGGCTTCTCCTTGTCTTGATCTCAGGTAACAGTCTGGACTGGCTTCTCCTTGTCTTGATCTCAGGTAACAGTCTGGACTGGCTTCTCCTTGTCTTGATCTCAGGTAACAGTCTGGACTGGCTTCTCCTTGTCTTGATCTCAGGTAACAGAAGAAAATGTATTTATGAGGTAAGAAATATTAGGAAACTACTGAAGTGCATAAAATGAGACTTCGTCAGTTTTCATATGATTTTGAATGCCTGTGCACAAAGACAGGAGTCTAGTTTGAAAACTAACTAGAGTATCTATTAAGATATTAACTGATTGATATTGTGTTGTATATTCTAGGTATATCAGTTATGACCTGAGTATGAAGATACGTGACATGGCGGCTGATCTCATTGTCCTGGAGGGTATGGGCAGATCAGTCCACACCAATTACTCCACAGCCTTCTCCTGTGAGGCCCTGAAGATAGCCGTCCTCAAGAACCGCTGGCTTGCTAACAGACTGGGTGGAGACATGTTCAGCATTATATTTAAATATGAAAAACCCAAGCGTGTGGTGCTACGGACGCACTCGTTACCTGCCAAGTTTTCTGTGGACAGCAGGTAGCAGTGAGTGGGAACAGTAAGCTGTGGCTGGAAGTTTCAAACTTGGAAAGGTTGACTTTCAGAAAAAAGTGGACCTTTTTAACCCCTTCCTGCAGGTGATTATGTTTGAGGAATAAAATAGGACCTTGATCTGTTTTGATCCAGAGTGGACCTACACGGGGCAGAAGGGCTGTTCTTTCAACCCACCGCACCCCCTCTGCCTACGACACTGGGAACAAATGGTTTTGTTCCAGGAAGAATGTTTGTATGCAGTCACTAGGGTTACACCAGGTGACCTTAAAGAGTGGGGACATTGTTATACAGTTTTTTACATGACAGGAAGTCAAGTAAGGTTGATAGCACATCTGCTACTGTGTCAAAGAACGTATTCAGATTCAAATGTTGACTACATCAATCCAACTCTGCAGGAATTTGCATTCAGTGTAATCAGCTTAATTGACAGCAAGGGAGTAATAAACTTTCATGTGCATTTGCCTTATTTACCCATGGCAGTTCCAGGAGGCACGTCAGACATTTATCCCGATTACACTTAGGGAGAATCTCTTGCAGAGTTGGGGCGATCCAGCTAGTGTGATGGTTTTGTGGGAATGCTCCCAAAGAGATCATATAGATATGTTGATGATAATTTTAATATTATTTATTTTGAAAAAGTCTAAATCCATTATCTGTTCAGTAGAGTTAACAACAAAATTTATAAAAGTTTATAGACACTAATGATTAAATGATATTATAGAGTTAAAGTTTGACTAAAGAAATAGTAATTAAAAGTAAAAAATCCAAGATTTTACTATGTTATGTGATTTTTGTAAAATATGAACAAAGTCATGAATAAAACATGAAAGTTTATCTATTGAGGTGTTCATTAACTTCTAATTTTTTAAACGTTCTCATGGTGTGCGCAAATCTGCGGTATAATCACCTTTCAAATTCTGCTGCAGCAACAGTCATAAATTCTTTGATAACTTCTAATTTGGAATACTGCAATTGATTTTTAATGATGTTCTAAGAAACAGATTTCAACAATTTCAAAACATTTCCACTGGACTATTAACTTAAATGTCAATGGGCAGATCCACAGATCGAATATGGAGCACCTACTTGAATGTTTGTTGCGTTATCCCCGCGGGGAATCTATTCAGTATCTATTAGGGGATAATGCAGCAAGTCTTGTACTGAATGAAGCCTAAAAGCTATGGGGACTATCCTTTTGCCAAATAATACATTTATATTTAAGAATAATTGATCTAAATTTATACATTGAGATTATTCTACATTTATTTCTCAAATAATCAAAATAAAGATAAACAAGATGCTATTTAACATTTTTTTTTATTTCTGTATCCTTTCAACTTGGGAGAACTTAAGATTACAAACAGGTTGAGAAAAATCCTGAAAAATAAGAATATAATCAGAAAAACTTGAAAATGATATTTGGAAAGGTAAATGTTTGAAATACAATTAATGGTCAGAAAATGAATGCTACTAAAAGGTCCCCCCTTAATGATTGACAACACAGTCACACTTGAACATCAAGGTGAAAGTACAAAGTTTAATTGTTCATCAATCAGATTCAAAAATGTCGAAGAACAAAATTAATGCTAAAATATATAACTTTATGTAAGGACTGGATACACCATAACGATTCTTACACATTTTTCTCATATTTCCTACACTGCACTCTTAAACTCCTGTCAACTTGTGACTAGCATACACATACTCAAACTTCTAAAAGTTTTATAAAATGGAGAAACTTCACAATTGCATATTCCTATACTTATTTACACCAAATGAAACTTAAATGATAGAAAAGGTAGGTTGTACACGTATTAGTATTGTTTAAGTAGAATGGTCCTCAAGACTGAAATAATGCAAACGATAACAAACTTAACTTTGAAAAATAAATTATTCCTATGACCTAGTAAATATCATCATCCTAGATCTCCAGTAATTCTCAGTATTCCCAGCATGCACCAGTGACTATCTGGGCAACAGCATAAATATAAATCAATCTTAAAAAAAAAAAAAAAAAAAGAAATCTATGCTATTCCCAAATCAGTCTTGATCGAGAATTGCTGAATTTTCGAAACAGTATAATCAAACTGATGATAAATAAGAAGTAAATGCACCTCAATACTGTTTGGCCTGGTATATCCACAATGCAGTATATGTCCTTTGACTTGACTTCAATAAACAAGAACTCTACAACGGATACATTGAAGCAAATATAAATCAATACTGATGTATTAATATCAATATCATTGGCAATTGAAGCAATACTACTGAAATTAAAACAAAAATACTGCTCATATATGAAGACATGTATGTTAAACTATGAGTAAAATTAAAAAAGCCTCTCACAATAATTCTTCCCTCAGCCAAAAGGTCAAGCTTACAGCAGTTTCATCACACAGCTTGCCAACTTACGATAGATTTTTTACTCACAATGACAAGGTTTTATAATTAATCTGAGAAAAATAGTTATGTACTGAAAAGGTAAATGAAATCTCAACTAAGAGTTCACCTATATTCAAAAAAAATCTTACTTAAAACTGAGCACTCTAATGAACAAAATGAAAGCAACAAGATGACATCTGACTCAGACAATAAACATAATTCATAACAATTACAGTAAACATAAAGCCATTTTTTTTCCAGAAAGCACTATCTCTGGCCAATTTCTTTAATCACATGCAACGTGAGAACATAAACCCTCTTCAAGTGACATCAAAGTCTAGGATTGGGTTCCCATACCTAGATCAAGCTAACAGGATCGGTCCATCTCTGTGGGGTTTCTGGCTAAATTGCTTTCAGCTCAAGATGTCTGTCACGCCTACTGAGGCTGCTAAAGATAATTAATTACCCCTTAGCAGCTTCATTAGGTGTGACAGACATCTAAGCTGCTTCAGCTGATTGCAATTTAGCGAGAATTCCCTTGGAGACAGATCGATCAACAGTTAGTACGATAGGGTCTGGGAATGGTCCCAAGGCTGACAAGCAGTGAGGGTATGAACATTAAAGGGTTAAACTGATTGTAGTGACCCAATAAATATAATACTGCATTTGAGAGGGAACCGTTTATAACTTAAATGAACTGTCAATACGTACAGCACCTTCAGATGGATAATAACAAAATTACACATGTATTATGCACTAACTAAAAACGAGAAAGAAACAAATTATAAGAGGCTTTGCTTTGCACCAAAAGGAAAGAAACACCCTATTTGCACATCAAGTTAAAAAGCACATTTTCAGAAAAAAAT